CACGTATTTATTGGGTGCTGAATCTGAATTAGTTTCATTTAATACCTATCTGAAAAAAAACCAAACAAACCTATCTGAAAAGTATTCAGTGAACAACAATTTAATTGCTACACATTAAATATATTTCAACACCACTCTACCATGTATTCATTTCTAAAGTTTGCATGGTGCTTTAATATAATTCTATTGTTTACAAGAAGTCCCAAAGCAAAATGTGTAGTAGCTGTTACATTAACTTTGTAGTTTTCTTTTTTTTTTAATTTTTATTTATTTATGATAGTCACACACAGAGAGAGAGAGGCAGAGACACAGGCAGAGGGAGAAGCAGGATCCATGCACCGGGAGCCCGACGTGGGACTCGATCCCAGGTCTCCAGGATTGCGCCCTGGGCCAAAGGCAGGCGCCAAACCGCTGCGCCACCCAGGGATCCCAACTTTGTAGTTTTCTACCTTTCTCTGTGTGAGGCTGAAGACTTGGTTGGCCAGCCTTACTCAGTGTTTTTTATTTCAATGAGTAAATTTCAGTATACTTTAGAAAATAGTTATTTTACCTTAGGAATAGAATTCTGACAATAAATGTTAGAAATACAACTCTCATTCCAAGTTGTGTAAAATATGTTTCTATATGCTTGACAATGTATTGATTGAAAATTTTTTCTATATTTAGAAAGTATTTTGAAATTTATAAAATTAAATTTTTATCTGATATTGGAAAAAAATACTTCCTGTCAGGTACTTTCTTCAGAAGACTTTCTCCTTTTTACTGAAATTTTTGTTAGTATATAATGTTTGTGCATTAGAGATATCTATTCTACACTTTGAATTCTGTTGAATTCATAGTCTATACCTTAAAAAAGTTACCCCTGTCATTTGAGATGGTTAACTTTCCCCTCAGTATTCTTTTTTTTAAAAAAGATTTTATTTATTTATTTATGAGACACACACACAGAGAGAGAGAGAGGTAGAGAGAGGTAGAGACACAGGTAGAGGAAGAAGCAGGCTCCATACAGGGAGCCGGATGCGGAACTCAGTCCCAGGACTCCATCCCAGGACTCCAGGACCATGCCCTGGGCGGAAGGCAGGTGCTAAACCACTGAGCCACCCAGGTATTCCCTCCCCTCAATATCCTGAAAGACAGAAATCTGGAGATGAGATTGCACCTTCAAATTCATTCCATGTTAAACTTATATTTTCTGAATTGTGGCCTGTGACTATCAGATTGGTGTTTCTTCACACTCTGTCTTTAGTTGAAGCTTTTGTTTTCTAATTTATATTGTAGAAATTTCCTTTGTACTTACAGTGAGTTTTTGTTATGTGACTTATTCCAGTCTATTCCAGGATTTTTTATTGTGTTACATACATTCCTTAATTAAAAACTCAGCAGAGCAAAATCAGAGTAGTTTTGAGAATAGAGCCACAGTATAACCATGAAAGTGCAAGTAAAATTCACTTAAATGATATATTTCAGTAATTTTTCTTTTCCCTTATAGAAGACATGTGTAGTATATGTTCCAAAGCAATCAGTTTTCATTATATTTCTTTTTTAAAATGTTATCTATCTATCTATCTATCTATCTATCTATCTATCTATCTATCTAACAGAGAGAGTGAGTAAGCACAGGGAGGGATAGAGGGAGAGGGAGAGAGAAGATTTAGCATACTCTTCACTGAGCCCAAAACCCAATGCAGGGCCAATCTCAAGACCTGAGCCAAAATCAAGAGTTCACCATTTAATCCACTGCACCCCTCAAGGGCCTCTTTTCATTATACTTCTTTCAAAACTTGAGTATTCTCTATGCTCCTGTGATCAATCCTATCTATGTCTGTCAGCATAACTCTTCTTACTTTTTTAAAAAAAGATTATTTATTTATTTATTTATTCATGAGAGACACACACAGAGAGAGGCAGAGACACAGGCAGAGTGAGAAACAGGCTCCACCCAGGAAGCCCAATGTGGACTGGGTCCTGGGACCCCCGGACCCTGTCCTGAGCCAAAGGCGGAGGCTCAAGCACTGAGCCGCCCAGGTTTCCCAGCATAACTCCCCTTAAATCCAAACTTATGCCTTCAAATATCTCTGTCCTTGCACTTTTTCAGGTGCAAGGACACCTGAATCAGAATTTGAATGGACTTTAATCTAAGGTCAGTCTGAATAAGTAGAAAAGTATAAAAACAATTTAGTAGAACAGATGAATCAATGAATTAAATGAACTGAGCCCGGGTATTTGATTGTATGCTGTATGGATTATATGGACTGAAGAGTGCTAGAAATCTAACTCCCCTCCACACTCCCACTAGTTTCTTAGAGCTAGTATTATTTATTAAATACTTAATATATCTCCTATAACTATAAATTTTATTCTTTATTATTGATGGCTGTATTGATATAATTGGTAATTTTGTCCTTTATATTAATACTTGTTTTCTCATGAATATGGGCTATCATCATATGCAAATTTTCAGAAGATCAGTGAACATCTAACAATGAATTTATCTTTTGCATCATCAGAAAGCATGAGCACACTGGGATCCAGGGAGGTTAGGATTCAAAATAGCTTGGAAGTTCAAAGTAGAGAGGTGAGAGCATGGAAGACACTTTAGTATTTATTTAGTAGCTACCTCTCTGTGTTTCTGCGGATAACACTCCTCAATTCAAGTAGCAATTAAGAAGCTAATAATGAAACTTCCCTTTATCAGTCCCCAACTTGTAGGCTAAGTTCTGATCCAATCTGAAACTTGAGAGTGAAGGGACACTATAAATAAATACACAGGATCACAGACATAAAGGGAGTATATCCTAGGTAACTTGGGGTCGGTCTATGGTGAGCCTATCCTATCCTAGACCTGGTAATTCTAACTGCATTAGCAACACCTGGAGTACTTAATGAACATTCTGGTTCCCAGACAACATTTGAAATAAGTAGGACTGGCAAATTTGCAAATTTTAATAAGCACTCCAGGTGGTTCTTACTCAATTGAAGTTTCAGATCCAATAGCCCTATTGAGATGCTTGGCAAAGCAAGTTCCTATTATTTGACAGGATATAATTTAAGTATCCCCTACTTTCTATTCATTATTGAAGATTTAATTGGCACAGCTATGTTATTGCTTGCTATAAAACAAACATTAATAGGAATGGAGTTTTGTTTATGTTTAATTCATGCTTTACAAGAAAAATAATCCTTAAAACCAGAATGTGAAGGGACTTTAACCTTTAAGGTCAGTCTAAAGAAGTAGAAAAGTGTAAAAACAATTTAGTAGAACAGATGAATCAATTCAATGACTCATTCCTATTTTCTTGTTCATAAATGTTGCTCTATTTTTTTAGCTCTTAATAACAACTGAAAGGATTAAAATTTTTTTTGGCTCTTTTATAAATCATAATATCATTAAAGTAAATAAATTAACCTTCTGGGTAAGACCAAAGGTCCTATTATTAAGTTTTCTCTTCTTGGAAAAAGAGAGTTTTCTCTCTTTTTTTCTTTCAGTAGTGTAGATATATTAATAGGGAATGTCAGTTGCTGAATATTTGATTCCAAGAACTTTGAGAAAGAGAAAATATTTTTACTGCAGGTGGTGATGAAAGGCTTTATTGATACTGATAAACTATTAGATAATTCCAAAACTGTTCATTTAGGGTACTTGAAAAGATTAAATATAATAAAGATGAAAGCACTTGTCCCTGCCAGTAGAAATCATAAATTTTTGAATTATTTTATCTAGAATCATAACTAAAATTATTTTTGCCCATGTAATATGCATAGCAAAAAATGAAACTTCTCCCTGTAGTAACAAATTTCTCAATAAAAAGCACTTTTCTATTTTCCTAAAGACAAGAACCACCAATCAGCCTGTGCAGTAGTAATAGTAAAGGCATTGCAGAGTGATAAAATTCTATAGGCAATAATTTTTACCAAAAAGCCAATTGTGGTCTTGACACAATATGAAAAGAAATGTGGCTAAATTGAGGCCTGAGGATATTGCCATTTGTGAAGCACTTACTCTCCTTAAGGTACTGTCCTAGGCATTTAATGTATCATAATTGATACAATCACCATATTGTTACTTTATGAATGTTATAAAACTGGAAACAGAGGCAGAGAGAGTTTAAACTATTCTCCCCAAGTCACAAAACTAGAAAGTTTAAGAATAGGAATCAGAATGGAGACATTTCTGATGTCAAAGCCAATAATCTTCCCTCAACTATCTAGTGATGACTGAAATTTAGGAGTTTCAAACACCTCACAGAGAACTGATTCTTCAGATTAGTGTCCAGTAAGGTTTATTTAATCTCAAAATAATAAAAAAGAAGTAAATTAAGTGTCAACATTGAAGACATTTAGGGGCACCTGCATTGCTCGGTAGGTTAATCCCCTGCATTTAGCTCAGGTCAGGATTCTAGAGTTTCGAGATCAAGTCTTGGCATCCAGCTCCCTGCTCAGTGCGAGTCAGCTTCTCCCCCTCTCTGCCTCTCTCTCTTTCTCTCTCAAATAAATAAGATCTTTTAAGAAGTTGAAGACGTCTAAATTTGTTACCCAGTAAAATACTGATACACTCACTATATACAGATACTAAGTATTTTCAAATGTAGCTAATGATAATCATGGTTGGGGAAGAAATTACCTCTCTGAGGTTCTGCACTCAACAAAACGCTGAACTAAGAGTAGATGATAATTACTATTGTATATGAAAGAGAAATCACGTGAAGTTTTGAGGATCCATAGAGATACAAATACGTAAAAATAGAATTAAAAGCTATGAATACAAGTTGTTAAACTTATGGAAATATACTTACACATTCAGCCACCGGATGTCGCTGTCTTCCATAAAATTTTTTACAACAAAGGCATAATCCTGTTTCTCAAGAACTAAAAAGGAGCTACATACTCAGATCTCAGCCATTTCGACAAAATTGGATGTAAGAAAAAGAATAGGAAAATCCAGAGAGCATGTTTGATTTAGACCGCTGATTCATCAATTTGTAAATCGACAAAAAGGTATGATGCTGGTCTACACACCCAGCGGCCTCATAGCCCAACACGGGCTTCTTTTGCTTCTGCTCCTCGCAGCCTGGAAGGCGGGGAGCGGCCAGGTTCACTACTCGGTCCCGGAGGAGGCCAAACACGGCACCTTCGTGGGTCGCATCGCCCAGGACCTGGGGCTGGAGCTGGCGGAGCTGGTGCCGCGCCTTTTCCGACTGGCGTCCAAAGGCCACGGGGACCTTCTGGAGGTAAATCTGCAGAATGGCATTTTGTTTGTGAATTCTCGGATCGACCGGGAGGAGCTGTGCGGGCGGAGCGCGGAGTGCAGCATCCACCTGGAGGTGATTGTGGACAGGCCGCTGCAGGTTTTCCATGTGGAGGTGGAGGTGAAGGACATTAACGACAATGCGCCCATCTTCTCAGTCTCAGAACAAAAGCTTTCGATACCGGAATCTCGACTGCTTGACTCCCGGTTTCCGTTAGAAGGCGCCTCTGATGCGGATGTTGGAGAGAATGCAGTGCTGACTTATAGACTCAGTCCAAATGAGTTTTTCATTCTTGATATTATAAACAAAAAAGACAAAGGCAAATTTCCAGTGCTTGTTCTAGGAAAAATGCTAGATCGTGAAGAAAACCCTCAGCTTCAGTTGTTATTAACGGCAACTGATGGAGGCAAACCGGAATATACAGGATCTGTTACTCTGCTGATCTTGGTATTGGATGCCAATGATAATGCGCCTATATTTGACCGATCTGTTTATGAAGTAAAGATGTATGAAAATTCAGCGAACCAAACTTTAGTAATATGGCTAAATGCGTCTGATGCAGATGAAGGAATAAACAAGGAAATGATATATTCATTTAGTGCTTTGGTTTCTCCCAGCATAAGAAGGAAATTTCTAATGAATGAAAAAACGGGAGAAATAAGAGTAAATGATGCTATTGACTTTGAGGATAGTAACACTTACGAAATTCATGTAGATGTTACAGATAGAGGAAACCCACCCATGGTTAGTCACTGCACCGTCCTAGTGGAAGTTCTGGATGAAAATGATAATCCACCTGAGGTGGTTATCACTTCTTTGGCTCTCCCGGTGCAAGAAGATGCTCAGGTCGGCACCGTCATCGCCCTAATCAGCGTAACTGACCATGACTCTGGCGCCAACGGGCAGGTGACCTGCTCACTAACACCCCAAGGCCCCTTCAAGCTGGTGTCCACCTTCAAGAATTACTATTCGCTGGTGCTGGACAGCGCCCTGGACAGAGAGAGCGTGGCGAACTACGCTCTGGTAGTGACCGCACGCGACGGAGGCTCGCCTTCGCTGTCGGCCACGGCCAGCGTGTCCGTGGAGGTGGCCGACGTGAACGACAACGCGCCGGCATTCGCGCAGCCCGAGTACACGGTGTTCGTGAAGGAGAACAACCCGCCCGGCTGCCACATCTTCACGGTGTCGGCGCGCGACGCCGACGCGCAGGAGAACGCGCTGGTGTCCTACTCGCTGGTGGAGCGGCGCGTGGGCGAGCGCGCGCTGTCGAGCTACGTGTCGGTGCACGCGGAGAGCGGCAAGGTGTACGCGCTGCAGCCGCTGGACCACGAGGAGCTGGAGCTGCTGCAGTTCCAAGTGAGCGCGCGCGACGCGGGCGTGCCTCCCCTGGGCAGCAACGTGACGCTGCAGGTGTTCGTGCTGGACGAGAACGACAACGCGCCCGCGCTGCTGCCGCTGCCCGGGGCGCGCGGCGGGGGCGGCGCGCTGAGCGAGCCAGTGTCGCGGGCGGTGGGCGCGGGCCACGTGGTGGCCAAGGTGCGCGCGGTGGACGCGGACTCGGGCTACAACGCGTGGCTGTCGTACGAGCTGCAGCCGGCGGCGGGGGGCGCGCGCAGCCCGTTCCGCGTGGCGCTGTACACGGGCGAGATCAGCACGACGCGCGCCCTGGACGAGGCGGACGCGCCGCGCCAGCGCCTGCTGGTGCTGGTGAAGGACCACGGCGAGCCGGCGCTGACGGCCACGGCCACTGTGCTGCTGTCGCTGGTGGAGAGCGGCCAGGCGCCCAGGCCGTCGTCGCGGGTGTTGGCGGGCGGCGCGGGCGCGGGCGCGGGCGCGGGCGCGGCGCTGGTGGACGTCAACGTGTACCTGATCGTCGCCATCTGCGCGGTGTCCAGCCTGTTGGTGCTCACGCTGCTGCTGTCCACGGCGCTGCGGTGCTCGGCGCCGCCCAGCGAGGGCGCGTGCGGGCCGGGGAAGCCCACGCTGGTGTGCTCCAGCGCGGTGGGGAGCTGGTCGTACTCGCAGCAGAGGCGGCAGAGGGTGTGCTCTGGGGAGGGCCCGCCCAAGGCCGACCTCATGGCCTTCAGCCCCAGCCTTCCACCGTGTCCAGTACCAGATGTGGAAATGGAAGGAGAGTCTTCTGGAGGGGACTACTCTGGAAAGGTGGGTTATTACTTTTTTAATTTCCATATGTTGATCTGTGAATAATTTATTAATCGCTTTTTGCCCTCATGCATATGTCTCAGAATATCTTCATCCTTTCTAATATAGCATATTGCTGTAAAATCTCAAATATTTCTACTAATGCCTAATATAATTTATCTAAAAGCTCGTTTTGGGGGTGTCTGTTGGCTCAGACGGTAGAGCATGTGACTCTTGGGGTGGTGAGCTCAAGCCCCATGATGTGCATGCAGCCTACTTTTAAAAATAAAAAAAAGTTCATTTTGTGTTTTGTCTATTGTACTCTGTGCATCATGTTTTTCTTGATACTTCAATTTTTAAATAGTTCAACTTGTTTTTAAGTATTTATATTTCCAATCAAATATTTGAAGTCATTTGTAGGTTTTGGTTTTTTCATAAAGCAGTCTTTTTTATTTTTACAAGTATTTATGAGAATAGTTCTTTAAGTTTATTTAACTTTCAAATCTAAATTTTGATATGGCCATATTACTTTTAAAGACTGCTCTCAGGGGATCCCTTGGTGGCTCAGTGGTTTAGCGCCTGCCTTTGGCCCAGGGCGCGATCCTGGGACTCCAGGATCGAGTCCCACCTCAGGCTCCTGGCATGGAGCCTGCTTCTCCCTCTGCCTGTGTCTCTGACTCTCTCTCTCTCTCTCTCTCTCTCTCTCTGTGTGTCTATCATAAATAAATAAACAAATCTTTAAAAAAATCATTAAAGACTGCTTTCAGTTCTCTTCAGGATCAAAATGTGCCTTTTTTCCCTTATTAAAGAATGTTTGGGGGGTGCCTGGGTGGCTCTGTAGGTTAAGCCTGGGACTCTTGATTATATCAGGTCATGATCAGAGTCCTGGGATGGAGACCTGAACTGGGTTCCAACCATGGGGCAAATTGGCTTGAGGATTTCTCTTCCTCCCCTCTGTTGGTCCCTCCTCCTCACTCATGCAGGCCTCCTTGCTCTATCTCTCAGATAAAGAAATAAACCTTAAAAATGAATATTATACTGCAGTATAACATAATAATACTATATCTTCAGTATTCCATGTTTACATTTTATTTTTAGTGGTACTCTGTGTAGACTTGAAATTCGTTCATAAATATCCTAATCTATGAAAATATTTTGAGATTTTAAAATGATTATCATTTTTATTTTAGTAGTGGTGGTACCTGTGCTGATGTATACTATTCACTTTTTTTAGCAGAAGATGAAGTTTTATAGTTATTTACATAATTTTATGCAGTCGCTCTTCATTACCTACTGCTTTGTTAACATAAAACATTGCTTATTATGTTCAAGTAGTAGTTTTTGCACTGTGAAGAAAGAGTATGATTATGTTTAATAATGGAGAACATTTGAAAATCACTTTTAATTTTAGGGAGGTTGGAGACAATTACTTTAGTCCAAATTAACATGAGAAATTTGAAGAGAGAAATGAATTGTTCTCTTAGAACGTTATCTACTGATTTGATATCATAGAGTACAATTTATAGTTTTTCTAGTCCTCTTAAACAGAATTGCGTTAAATGGGGTAGACTGAGAAATGAAGGACAATTAAATTGCAGGGTGCCAACACTATCCTATTCATTATTCCTTTTTGAGACTGGTTGTTACCTGATACCTATGGTTTCATTTTTGTTTATTTTGTTAGGTCCAGTGTTACCATAATAGCAGTGTATCTAGTTTATCATCTTGACTCTGGTTCTTAGCAATGCTTTTTCCTTTCTGTATGCAGGCTGAATTTCTACTCCGTTTGTATTTCACAAAAAGCTTCCAGTAAAACTTGGAATCTCTATCCAAGTAAGGAACATTGAGAAAGACAACTGTGGCAGGAATTTAAGCATGGCATTGCCTTCTTATGCTAATACTTCCCATGGCCAGTCCACAGTTCTATGAGATTACAGAAGATAAGTTACACTAGAGTATTTCAACTTGTATATAGAATCCCTTTATCTTATATCTGCCCTCTCTTTCAGCCCTTTATAATGTCGCTATGTTCCCCTTGCAGGAAAGTCTTATCCAAAAGCATCTCTTTTTCTGAGCAATTAATGAAATACAGAATTGTGCATTTACCAATTTAGTCCTATTTGTTTTTTTAAATTTTATTTATTTATTTATTTGTTTATGAGAGAGAGAGAGAGAGAAGCAGACTCCATGCACCGGGAGCCCGACGTGGGATTCGATCCCGGATCTCCAAGATAGCACCCTGGGCCAAAGGCAGGCGCCAAACCGCTGCGCCACCCAGGGATCCCAGGGGGGACATGTTTAAAATACAAGTATTCACCAAAGTTTTAACATAACCAGTTAGCATTTTATCCAGTAATATAATTTTAAAGTCTTTGGAGGAAGCAATGCAGTAGGAGATGAAACGAGGTGAGATGTCAGGAGTAGTTGAGAACTAGCAAGGACATCTTCCTCTGTCTCTGCTTTAAGATAAATATTTTAAAATAAATTTAATGGACAAAGTTTCTTTCATTCAATTCAGAATTACTGAAATTTAAGAATGAAACCAGAAAATTTTCCAAATCAAGGATTGCTTTTAACATTCTTGCCAAAAAAGAAATTAGTCAATTTCTCTTAAAAGTATAGCATCTTAGGGGCACCTGGGTAGCACAGTTGGTTAAGCACCCAATTCATGGTTTTGGCTCACGTCGTGATCTCATGGGTCATGAGATTGAGCCCCACATTAGGCTTTGCAGTCAGTGCAGTCTGTTTGAGCTACTCTCCCTTTGCCCCTCCTCCCATGTGCTCAGTCTCCCTCTTTCTTTGAAATAAATAAATAAATGTAAAAAAACTATACCATCTTAATTTTATGATCATATTTAATATGCTCTTTATTAAGTGATATTAAAATGAGGCTAATAGCTCTTGATGGCATTGTGTTTGTTATTTTCTATTTTAAGATGAGTAACCAACCCATAGCTTTATCAGTACACTGTATTTATTTAGCTATATGATAACCTGAGAATTTGAGGGCTTTAAAAACTATCTTTAATGTGTACTTAACCAATGAGGCAATTCCTTAAACCAGAAATAGAATGGACCTTCAGCATGGTATATTCTCAAAGGGATTGGATTATTTAAATCAGAAAACACAAGGAAATTTAGTTCTTTGTCATGTCTTTTTCTGCATTTAGTAATCCCTATGTGCTAAAATTATTTTGCTCTTTATGCAACTATGCTAGTCTTGCGTTTAAAAAAGAATTAGAATTTAAAGAAGAATTACAAGTAGTTAGAACTATAAATTTTTTTCATAGATTTATAATCATTAAATCACTATTTTTTAAAGTGTTCCAAATGAATACTGAAACTCACTTTCACATATGACCTAAGATTGGCTTGGATAGCTATTTACAATTTTTTTCATTAGAGAAGTTTGGGATTTTACCAATGGCTGCCATCTTATCAGAAGGATTTCAGATATTGGATTGTTGGCTTCTTAATAGTCTTGAGAATGATTAAAATATTTTTCTCTTTTAATATGACTGATAAGCTTTATTGCAATTGATAATAGTTGCTATGCAAATTTCCACTGGGCTTTTGCATTTGAGATAAGAACAGGAAAATAAAATTGAGTAAATGAATTAGATTTAGTATGATTTTTTTTAAATCTTTTTTTTAAATTTTTATTTATTTATGATAGTCACACAGAGAGAGAGAGAGGCAAAGACATAGGCAGAGGGAGAAGCAGGCTCCATGCACCGGGAGCCCGACGTGGGATTCAATCCCGGGTCTCCAGGATCGCGCCCTGGGCCAAAGGCAGGCGCTAAACCGCTGCGCCACCCAGGGATCCCGATTTAGTATGATTTTTATGCTCTAGTCTCTGGAAACCAATTCTGGCATAAAATGAGTATAAACAAACAGACAAAAATAACTTGAATTCCTGATTCAGTGGTTTTGTTGGGGGTAGGTTAGAAAGAATTTGTTTTCAAATAGTAGTGGATATAAAGCAAATATAAGTTATCCTTCAGGATGGAAACTATGACATTCACTCTGAGCAGACACAATAATTGAAAAAGCTTTAAAATGAGCCAAAGATAAATATGCCTTGTATTTCTAGGAGTCAGTACTTGGTAAATTCATTAACATCAAAGAAAATAAATCTTTGAATAAACTGATAAATAGCTTGCATATCAGCATTGATTTTAAAGACCATTATGTTGAGGCAGTAACTTAGAAAACTTGCATATTGAGTTGTTCTCTGCACAGTTGAATTAAATGTTTTGAATAATTTAACATACTGTAAGGATTAAGCAATAAGAATGATAGTGTTAGCAATGGAGTAAACTTAATAAAAGCCCATTCCAAAATGATCAATTTCTGAAAGTCTAAAAAACACAGCATCACTAGTAACCTACAAATATGGATTTTCATGTTTATATACATGAATATAGTTGGTCCAGTAGTACATTCTTAGATGTCTATGTCCAAGGTAAAAACTCTTCTTAGGATTCTAAATTGTAAGACAGAAACCACCTTTAAAGAGCTAGTGGTCACACACAAGGAACGTATAAAGAATTAAAAGTCTACAAAGTAAAATATGGACCAATATATGAAGGAATTAGGAGAGAATCAATAGAAGTGGAAAAATAGTATACACACCAACGCACTTCCATTTTGAGCCACAGGATGTCGTTGTTCTCCAAGGAGAGGATTCTTTAAACAGAAGAAAATTGCGATTATTCACGGACCAGAAAGAATCTCCACTGTTCCGGTGTTTTAAACACTGTATATATCTATGTTGTTAAGATCAATCGGGATCTCAGGAACAAAGACTCAAAAGAAAGATCTAAAAGGACTACCCCTTTCCGCTCATGAAATATTGCTTTATTAACCAGAAGCAAAGCAGGATGTTAGCTTCTGGACCAGGTGGCCAGGGAACCAAGCATTTGCTGCTCTCGGTTCTGCTCCTTGCAGCGTTGGAAGCCGAGAGCGGCCAGGTCCGCTACTCGGTCCCGGAGGAGGCCAAACACGGCACCTTCGTGGGTCGCATCGCCCAGGACCTGGGGCTGGAGCTGGTGGAGCTGGTGCCACGCTTGTTCCGGGTGGCGTCCATAGGCCATGGGGACCTTCTGGAGGTAAATCTGCAGAATGGCATTTTGTTTGTGAATTCTCGGATCGACCGCGAGGAGCTGTGTGGGAGGACTCTGGAGTGCAGCATCCACCTGGAGGTGATCGTGGACAGGCCGCTGCAGGTTTTCCATGTGGAGGTGGAGGTGAAGGACATTAACGACAATCCGCCTGTGTTCCCAGCATCACGAAAAAAATTGTTTATTTCTGAAACTACAGCTCTTGACTCTCATTTTTCACTAGAGGGCGCCTCTGATGCAGACATCGGGGCCAATGCTCTTCTGACTTACAGACTGAGCCCCAATGAGTATTTCTCTCTGGAAGTACCCACCAACGATGACCAGGTAAAACCACTCCAACTAGTGCTAAAAAAACCTTTAGACAGGGAGGTCGCTTCAGAGCTTCTCTTGGTGCTCAAAGCAACTGATGGGGGAAAGCCCGAGCTGACAGGTACCACAGAGTTACACATCACAGTGCTGGATGTAAATGACAACGCCCCAGTGTTTGACAAAGCTGTCGATCGTGTAAAATTATTGGAGAATTCGAGAAACGGTACACTGGTTATTAAACTTAACGCCTCAGATTTGGATGAAGGTTCAAACAGCCATATTCTTTATTCCTTTGCAACTGATGTCTCCTCTAATACAGAAGACTTTTTCCACATAGATTCAGCCAGTGGAGAAATAAAAGTAAACGGAAAAATAGATTTTGAAGAAACCAAATTATGGAAACTTCAAATAGAAGCAGTTGACAAAGGAAATCCCCCGATGTTTGGTCACTGCACGGTCTTGATAGAAATCTTGGATATTAATGATAATGTTCCGGAGTTACTAGTGACGTCACTATCATTGTCTGTTCCAGAGGATGCTACACTAGGGACTGTCATTGCCCTAATCAGTGTAACTGACCGTGACTCTGGCGCCAACGGGCAGGTGACCTGCTCACTAGCACCCCAAGGCCCCTTCAAGCTGGTGTCCACCTTCAAGAATTACTATTCGCTGGTGCTGGACAGCGCCCTGGACAGAGAGAGCGTGGCGAACTACGCTCTGGTAGTGACCGCACGCGACGGAGGCTCGCCTTCGCTGTCGGCCACGGCCAGCGTGTCCGTGGAGGTGGCCGACGTGAACGACAACGCGCCGGCATTCGCGCAGCCCGAGTACACGGTGTTCGTGAAGGAGAACAACCCGCCCGGCTGCCACATCTTCACGGTGTCGGCGCGCGACGCCGACGCGCAGGAGAACGCGCTGGTGTCCTACTCGCTGGTGGAGCGGCGCGTGGGCGAGCGCGCGCTGTCGAGCTACGTGTCGGTGCACGCGGAGAGCGGCAAGGTGTACGCGCTGCAGCCGCTGGACCACGAGGAGCTGGAGCTGCTGCAGTTCCAAGTGAGCGCGCGCGACGCGGGCGTGCCTCCCCTGGGCAGCAACGTGACGCTGCAGGTGTTCGTGCTGGACGAGAACGACAACGCGCCCGCGCTGCTGCCGCTGCCCGGGGCGCGCGGCGGGGGCGGCGCGCTGAGCGAGCCGGTGTCGCGGGCGGTGGGCGCGGGCCACGTGGTGGCCAAGGTGCGCGCGGTGGACGCGGACTCGGGCTACAACGCGTGGCTGTCGTACGAGCTGCAGCCGGCGGCGGGGGGCGCGCGCAGCCCGTTCCGCGTGGCGCTGTACACGGGCGAGATCAGCACGACGCGCGCCCTGGACGAGGCGGACGCGCCGCGCCAGCGCCTGCTGGTGCTGGTGAAGGACCACGGCGAGCCGGCGCTGACGGCCACGGCCACTGTGCTGCTGTCGCTGGTGGAGAGCGGCCAGGCGCCCAGGCCGTCGTCGCGGGTGTTGGCGGGCGGCGCGGGCGCGGGCGCGGGCGCGGGCGCGGCGCTGGTGGACGTCAACGTGTACCTGATCGTCGCCATCTGCGCGGTGTCCAGCCTGTTGGTGCTCACGCTGCTGCTGTCCACGGCGCTGCGGTGCTCGGCGCCGCCCAGCGAGGGCGCGTGCGGGCCGGGGAAGCCCACGCTGGTGTGCTCCAGCGCGGTGGGGAGCTGGTCGTACTCGCAGCAGAGGCGGCAGAGGGTGTGCTCTGGGGAGGGCCCGCCCAAGGCCGACCTCATGGCCTTCAGCCCCAGTGTTCCTCCTGCTTCAGGTTCTGGAGATAGTGGAGAACAACAGATTTTCCGGAATGAGGTGAGTACAGTAATTCTGGAATGTATTTAATTCCAGAGGTCAATCGCAGAGTATGTTCAGTGATATTACTGTAAGTTGATTGCTCCATTTATTTGTTTTTGCTTTGTTTTCTTGGGATAGCTTATTTTAAAGCACACTAGAAGTCTAGCCATTTTTATTACTTTTCACTAAAGTCTTCATGAACACACCAGGAACATTATTTATTTGCTGGAAAAAATAATAGTTGTAATAAAAGCAATAATGAAATAGCTAAAGCTTTCTGTAAATGAAGCAGGCTAAGTCATGAGGGAAAGGAGCCAAGGATCACTGATGGGAAATGGAGAATGTAGGCAAAGCTTAAATCTTCTAGTTCTCAATTGTGGAGCAAGTTCATTCTTTTTATTCATTTTCTTTTTCTAATGGTGTCCTCTACTCATTATGTTCATGTATTAAAAATTTCTATAACGTAATGCAGAACTTCATAATTTAGTTATTTTGAGTTTGAAATGTGTTTGAATTATTACCGTCCTATAAACTATAAATTTATTTATTATTAATGGGCATGCGCTGTTGAGGTGGCTTCCTTTTATAAACAATTTTGTTTCTTTACAATCTTCTTTGAGATACTGGATTTAGTTTCAGCCTTACCTTTGGGATAAGGTGCTTCAGATAAACTATATTTTTCCTTATTTCCTAGCATAATTTCAGCTTTGCTAATTGCGTGTTGAATCTAGTGCTGCTCTCTTTCAGATTAATTCATTGATTTCCTTTTTTTATTTGGAAGATTTATTTGATATTTGATCATATTTATGTTTCTTCCATTCATGGTACCCATTGTGAGGCTGTATGGAAATATTTTAGGGTAGAGTAGGAAAATTCACTCTTCTTTGTGTTTTGTGTTTAAGAGAATCTTCCCATATATGGGGAAATATGGTCCTGCTGCCTGTGTGTCTACCAAGCCACTATTTCAAGGTCTTTGAAATGGCATTGATGTAAATAGCTTAAGCAAACAACCTTGGAATATCTATAAAGTCATTTCCATTTGGCAGTGGTGATGTTGATGGCATTTCACAATATAATATTGTATACTTTAAATACACTTGATGCAAACTCTTTTTTGCCGCAAAGCTATATGCATGTGAATTGTTTTCTTTAAAGAGATCACAGAGAACTTATATTTAGAGCTATAAGCATGTAAATCAACTAATATGAACATTTATTTATTTATTTATTTATTCCAGTGTACAAGTTAGAAACACTTTACTGTATTGGCATGGAGAAATAAATTAATATATAATATATTTACATGTGGTGGAGAACCATGTTATGGATAGGGTAAAGTTAATAGGAGTGCTAAGAAGACATTAGTGGCAATTTTCTTTCTTTTTTCTTTTTCTTTTTTTTAGTGGCAATTTTCTAGCCACAAAAAGAGGATGATTTCCATGAAGATGAACATTAGGAAATTTTCTGAAAAGGAAAACCATGCCCTAGTTTATCATACTGAAATTCTTTTCATCCATATCTACAAATTAAAATAAGAACAGTCACTAACTATAAATAAACCATTACTATTTGAACTATTTCTGTTTATTAGACATTGTGTGAAGAACTTAAAATACATAATTTTATTTAACCCCTTATATCAACTTGTAAACTACATGTCACTATCCAAATTTTATATTTTTAAAGGATTTTATTTATTTGAGAGAAAGGATGATTGAGAGGATGAGCATGAACTGGGGGAGGGATAGGAAACAGCAGATTTCCCACTGATCAGGGAGCCTGACATGGGGCTCTATCCTAGGACCCTGGGCTCAGACCTGAGCTGAAGGCAGATATTTAGCTGACTGATGCACCGAGGCACCCCTCACTATCCAAATGTTAAAGTTGAGCTAAGAGATGGTAAGATATTTTTCTCCTTTGTCTACTGCCATCCATCCAGTCCATGATAAAGATGATATTCAAATACATATCTTTTAGCCCAGAACCATTCTTTTATACACTGTAAAGTTTTCTACACTAATTGTTTTCTCTGATCAGGCATAGTTCGGCTAGGAAAACCAAGCAGAAAGTATATACAGGTGAATCCTCCTTTCCGTTTTGCTTAAGAAAAACTCCATGATTATCCTCATAGTTAATTTTGTACAGTGCCATAATTGAGATAAGAATTGAGATTTTTATGTTAAGTGATTTTTTTCTCAGTAGAGTTCATGAACATTATTATCATTTTTCTAATGCCACATTGAAATAGGTATTTACATCATTCAATCAGTATATAATGAAGAGCTGTCATTGTTAAGGACTGTGTATTCATTGTTTGGAAGTAGTATAAGTAAGAAGAATCATTTAATATATGAGAAAACCCAGAAGACTGATCTGCAACATTCTACCAGAACACCAAAACCAAATAACAAATACGAAAATGACCCTGTCCTTTTTATGTTGTGAATAAGGGTAATGTTTTGGGCAAATATAAGTGGTAATATGATTCTTTCCAGGGTCCTGGATATCAACAAAGGATTCAATAAGTGTTTCCAAAGTTGCTTACTTCAAAAACAGCTTTAAAGCTATATATTCCTCATGAAATCTTTTGAGTGTGTGTGTAGCTATTTCAGAATTCAGTTTGCTTCAGTCTTATTGTTGCCTGTGAGATTTGTGCTGACTGGTCAGATGATCTATGATCAAATAACTGTATACTTCAATAAGCTGTGAGAGCAAAGAATAAACATCAATCAATAAGCATATCCTATAATTTTGTTAATACAATGTTGGTACTTCTAACTTATTGATTTTAAAGAACCTCCTGAGTTTCCAAGAATGGTTTCAAGATTTGTTTCTCTGTTTTGCATTTCAATAATATTACTAGTCCTGTTATGCTCTATGATGAGGACTAATAGAATATTAAACCATGCACTCTATTATATGACTAGCAGGACATACAGTTAAAACTAAAATTAACCAGATTGGGGTGCCTGGGTGGCTGAGTCAGCTCACTGTCTGGCTTTTGGTTTCATCTGTGGTTGGGATCTTCCCCGTCATGGGATCCAGCCTTTTGGGGCCTCTTGTGGAGCCTCTCCTGGAGCCCTGTGTTGGGCTCCATGATCATCATGGAGTCAGTTTGAGATTCTCTCCCTCTATACCTCCCCCTGCGCTCTCAAGCTTAAATAAATAAATCTTTTTTAAAAAGACTAACCAGATTTATTTAGTAAAGGTCAGGCACAAAGTTCCTCAGTGTTTCAATTTTACAAAGTCAATGTTAATTAATGATATTGATGTGGGGCGCCTGGGTGGCTCAGTGGTTGAGCATCTGCTTTTGGCTCAGGTTGTGATCCTGGGGTCCTGGAATTAAGTCCTGCATTGGGCTCCCCACAGTAAGCCTGCTTCTCCCTCTGCCTATGTCTCTGCCTCTCTCCGTCTCTCTCAGGAATAAATAAATAAAATATTTAAAAAATGACGGTATTGATGTGAACTTCTTGGCATTAGCTTATTGCCAGATCTCAAGTTTATCCCCAAAGATGAGTTCAAAGATAACACAATTTCTCTTATTTGGACTAGTTGAGATGGTGGTATCTGAAATATCAGAGCCAAAATGCAGAAGATGGGCCATTGGCTTATACAATATATCAAACTCTTTTATGACTTGGTGTTCATCCAGGTGTCCTTTCATATACTCAAAACATACCATATTACTGGAAAGTAATTGCTAAATTAACATCTAGTTTTAATGCAGACATATAATATTATATGTCTTGGGCAAACTTTCTGATGTTCATCCCTCTGTCTACCTTTGAGGACTCCATACTGCAGGTAACACCTCAATTCCTAATTTCTGTAATGGAGCATTTGGAGATCTCTTCCTTCCTTTTCCTCTAAAATAAATCTGACAGGCTTCAGATAGTATGTTAAGTCTACTGTTAGTGTAATCTAATGTTATATTTTGATTAGAGGACCTTATAACTGATTGTTTCACAGATGCAGAAGATAATTCAGTGTTATAAAAAGTGCCAAGTCTGCATACCTTAATAGCTTTTTAAAAAAGATTTTATTTATTTATTCATGAGAGAGAGAGAGAGAGAAAGAGAGAGGCACAGAGACACAGGCAGAAGGAAAAGCAGGTTCCACCCAGGGAGCCTAATGTAGGACTGGATCCCAGGGACCCCAGGATCATGCCCTGGGCCGAAGGTGGCACTAAACTGCTCAGCCACCTGGGCTGCCCATCCTTAATAGTTTTTTAAGAAAGAATTTACTAAGGGTTCTAGCAGGATGATAATATGGGGAAAAGAGTAAATTTGAAAAAAAATGGAACAAGATCTGAAATTAACTATGGTGTATGTGTGTGTACTCAAGATAAAGGAAAATACTAACATAATTATACTAGTAATTTTTCATATGCCATTTCTATATTTTCAAACTGAAGATGGATAATCAAAATCACACAACTAAATACTCAAGCTAGAGTGATATTTATTCTAAATCACTCTGTACTTCTAACTTCCACTGTATCCTCTTTTGACACTTTAAATCCAAGGCTATGTGAAAAGACAAAGGACATATAACCAAATTACATCTTCAGGCAATAATAATTCATATCAACAATTCCCATTTTCTACTTGATATTTTATGAAATTAAATTTCTACAAACATTAAGGTCATTTGCTACTTGGTTGCTTTGTTTGATTATTTTCTTTTTTAAAGTTTTTCCTTTTTTTTAAAAAAAGACTTCTTATTTATTTATTCATGAGAGAGAGAGAGAGAGAGAGAGGCAGAGACACAGCAGAGGGAGAAGCAGGCTCCATGCAGGGAGCCTGACATGGGACTTTATCTGGGGACTCCAGGGTCACACCCTGGGCTGCAGGTGGTGCTAAACCGCTGAGCCACCGGGGCTGCCCTGATTATTTTCTATATATATATTTAACACAGTATTAGGCATTTAGAGGAGGTATCATTAGAAATCCTTTCCCCAGTTTTGGATGAACTTATGGTCTCAAACCCAGAATTCTTTCAACAAGAAACAGGACATTCAACCATTATTGAGTGCCTACTGTGTCCTGGAAATTCTGCTCTGTGCTAGCCCACCTCAGGTCACACCTACAATGCTACAACAGCTCCCTGCTGGTCTCCTGGCTTCTGGTCTTCTCCCCTTCAAACTGGCCTTGAGTATCTGGCCAGTCTCAGCCGTCTGAAATCTTACCTTACTTTTTTGCTCCAGCACATCCAATGGCTCTCCAGTGCCCTTAAGGTCAACTCCAGGGATACCTGGGTGGCGCAGTGGTTTGGCGCCTGCCTTTGGCCCAGGGCGCAATCCTGGAGACCCGGGATCAAATCCCATGTCAGGCTCCCGGTGCATGGAGCCTGCTTCTCCCTCTGCTTATGTCTCTGCCTCTCTCTCTCTCTCTCTCTCTCTCTCTCTCTCTCTCTCTGTGTGTGTGTGTGTGACTATCATAAATAAATAAAAAAATTTTAAAAAAGGTCAACTCCAATTCTTTAATATGATAATTAAGCCTTCCCTGCTCAGGCCTTGCTCTCTCTAATGGAATTTCCTATGTATTGTCTCTTTAATCCTCTCCTGTGCCAGGTACTCAGAGGTGCTTAATAAACATTTGTAAGGCGAATGAAAAAGAAAAGTCAGCTATTTTCATGAATATATCTTGACAGATAAACAAAAACCAACATTGATGACTTAGAAAGGCCAATATGGCACATCCATTTTTATGGTGACATTTATTTCATTGAATTATAATAAAATTTATTTTATAATTGAAAGACACCTTCTTCCATATCATTGACACCATCAAAAAGTATCATTTTGATACCTCATATTATACTGTTAGCAGTGCAACTTACCTGATAAATCATGTGTGCCAAATATAAATTTCATCTACATTCAAAACTTTTCCATTGTGAATTCTATGTATTAAAAACTAAGTTTGAAATTATATTTTTGTTTTTCAGTGGATATAAAATTGCTTCTAACAAAAATGCAATTAAATGTAAATAACAAAAAAGAATTAGAACTAAAGAAAATAGATAGGAAAGAAGGCAAATGCACATAGATAACACGCATAACCTAGAGTTGTTATTAAAACCTCAAATGTTGGGCAGCCCTGGTGGCCCAGTGGTTTAGCGCCACCTTCAGCCCAAGGTGTGATCCTGGAGACCTGGAATGGAGTCCACATCGGGCTCCCTGCTTGGAGCCTGCTTCTCCCTCTGCCTCTCTCTCTCTCTCTCTCTCTCTCTCTCTCTCATGAATAAATAAATAAATAACCTTAAAAAAGCCCTCAAATGTGTCTTTGAGTTTCCTAGAAGCCAAAGTAGCAAGAGAAATTAGAAGTCGAACAATTCAAATTTGGTAGCATTTCAATTTTAAATATTTTTTATTTATTTATTTTTATTTATTTATGACAATCACACAGAGAGAGAGAGGGAGAAGCAGGCTCCCTACCGGGAGCCCAAAGCGGGACTCAATCCTGGGTCTCCAGGATCAGGCCCTGGGCTGAAGGCGGGGTAAACCACTGAGCCACCCGGGATGCCCCTAGAAACAATATCTTTTTTTTTTTAGAAACAATATCTTTAGGAAATGTTTAACCCTAGTTTTTCATAAGGCTACCTGCAGAATTAAGCTGTATATTATGTGGATATGTAAGAGAAGAATTGTAGAACTTCAAACATAGGAACAAAAATTTCATGTTAAGAATAAAAGATCATTTCCCACATAACATCAGTTTCAATATGACTTATAATAAGAGTGTTCCCTCAGTAAGCACTTTGGAAATATTGCTTTTAGTATATAATAAAATGAAATACGTGAATTTAATTATATTTTTCCTTTAAGTGTACGATGTAGTGTACAGTACTCACTATTCAGGCGCAAGGTGTCGCTCTTTACTCGGTGGAAATAGTTCTTTCCAGGGTCTGTCTGAACAGCCAGAAACGCCCCATACGAAAACGCCTCAATCACGCCGAACGCTACCATTAAAGGATTCTTTGAAACTTCTCAAAAAATTCAGCCAGATTTTCAACCCCAAACCGGAGTCTCTGGTACTGAGAGTGTAAAGAACCTTATTTTGGAAGTCAAAGTCTTATGCGATGTTCGGCTTTCAAAGAAGGGGATTGGGCACTCGGCGTCTGCTGCTCTCGGTTCTGCTCCTCGCAGTCTGGGAGCCCGCGAGCGGCCAGGTCCGCTACTCGGTCCCGGAGGAGGCCAAACACGGCACCTTCGTGGGTCGCATCGCCCAGGACCTGGGGCTGGAGCTGGCGGAGCTGGTGCCGCGCCTTTTCCGACTGGCGTCCAAAGGCCACGGGGACCTTCTGGAGGTAAATCTGCAGAATGGCATTTTGTTTGTGAATTCTCGGATCGACCGGGAGGAGCTGTGTGGGAGGACTCTGGAGTGCAGCATCCACCTGGAGGTGATCGTGGACAGGCCGCTGCAGGTTTTCCATGTGGAGGTGGAGGTGAAGGACATTAACGACAATCCGCCGCTGTTCTCTCTCAGAGAACAAAAACTGCTGATTCCTGAATCTAAGCAACCCGACTCTTATTTTCCTCTAGAGGGAGCTTCTGATGCGGATATAGGAGAAAATGCTCTATTGACCTACAGACTAAGTCACAATGAGTATTTTTCTTTAGAATTACCAACACAAAATAAGCAGACTAAAAGACTGTCGCTTAAATTAAAGAAGTATCTGGATCGAGAGAAAACTCCAGAATTTAATTTGCTACTGACCGCTGCAGATGGGGGAAAACCGGAGCTCACTGACACCATTCAGCTTTTCGTCCACGTCTTGGATATTAACGACAATGATCCGGAATTTGAGCAATCAGAATACAAGGTGAAACTGACGGAAAACGCAGCTAAAGAAACTTTTGTAATAAAGCTAAACGCCACAGATCCAGATGAAGGAGTCAATGGTGAGGTAACCTACTCCTTGATATCAATTAAGCCCAATGGAAAACTCTTATTTACACTAGATGAAAATAACGGAGAAGTGAGGGTCAATGGAACTTTAGATTATGAAGAAAACAAGTTTTATGAAATTGAAGTACAGGCCACAGATAAAGGGAATCCCTCAATGGCAGGTCATTGTACAGTCTGGATAGAAATCTTAGACGCGAATGATAACGCCCCTGAAGTCACCATAACTTCCCTGTCTCTCCCAGTACCAGAGGACGCTCAGCCCAGCACGGTCGTCGCCCTAATCAGCGTATCCGACCGTGACTCTGGCGCCAACGGGCAGGTGACCTGCTCACTAGCACCCCAAGGCCCCTTCAAGCTGGTGTCCACCTTCAAGAATTACTATTCGCTGGTGCTGGACAGCGCCCTGGACAGAGAGAGCGTGGCGAACTACGCTCTGGTAGTGACCGCACGCGACGGAGGCTCGCCTTCGCTGTCGGCCACGGCCAGCGTGTCCGTGGAGGTGGCCGACGTGAACGACAACGCGCCGGCATTCGCGCAGCCCGAGTACACGGTGTTCGTGAAGGAGAACAACCCGCCCGGCTGCCACATCTTCACGGTGTCGGCGCGCGACGCCGACGCGCAGGAGAACGCGCTGGTGTCCTACTCGCTGGTGGAGCGGCGCGTGGGCGAGCGCGCGCTGTCGAGCTACGTGTCGGTGCACGCGGAGAGCGGCAAGGTGTACGCGCTGCAGCCGCTGGACCACGAGGAGCTGGAGCTGCTGCAGTTCCAAGTGAGCGCGCGCGACGCGGGCGTGCCTCCCCTGGGCAGCAACGTGACGCTGCAGGTGTTCGTGCTGGACGAGAACGACAACGCGCCCGCGCTGCTGCCGCTGCCCGGGGCGCGCGGCGGGGGCGGCGCGCTGAGCGAGCCGGTGTCGCGGGCGGTGGGCGCGGGCCACGTGGTGGCCAAGGTGCGCGCGGTGGACGCGGACTCGGGCTACAACGCGTGGCTGTCGTACGAGCTGCAGCCGGCGGCGGGGGGCGCGCGCAGCCCGTTCCGCGTGGCGCTGTACACGGGCGAGATCAGCACGACGCGCGCCCTGGACGAGGCGGACGCGCCGCGCCAGCGCCTGCTGGTGCTGGTGAAGGACCACGGCGAGCCGGCGCTGACGGCCACGGCCACTGTGCTGCTGTCGCTGGTGGAGAGCGGCCAGGCGCCCAGGCCTTCGTCGCGGGTGTTGGCGGGCGGCGCGGGCGCGGGCGCGGGCGCGGCGCTGGTGGACGTCAACGTGTACCTGATCGTCGCCATCTGCGCGGTGTCCAGCCTGTTGGTGCTCACGCTGCTGCTGTCCACGGCGCTGCGGTGCTCGGCGCCGCCCAGCGAGGGCGCGTGCGGGCCGGGGAAGCCCACGCTGGTGTGCTCCAGCGCGGTGGGGAGCTGGTCGTACTCGCAGCAGAGGCGGCAGAGGGTGTGCTCTGGGGAGGGCCCGCCCAAGGCCGACCTCATGGCCTTCAGCCCCAGCCTGCCTCGGGGCCTGCATGGAGAAGTCGGAGGGGAAAGGCAGGAGGCAGGATCAAATCACCCTGGGCAGGTGAGTTCTATAGATTCCTCTTCTTTTGAAGTCTACGTTAAATTTTAAACAATCCATTATATTTCATTGAATATTTTAAGGAATACTCTGTATTTTGGGTATTAATGTTTTAAACGAGTATAAATGTTTTAGAGAACAATTTCTGTTAGTGAAATGCGAAAAGATAAAAATCCAAGTTTAATCATGAGAAAAATCAGGTTTTTTTAGCCAACAAATGCCCTATTTCTCCTAATGTTTGGTAGAAAATGTTAAAAGATGAAAGAACCACTCTCCTGTCATCGCTTTATTAGATACAATTTCTAATTTTCCATGAAGTACCTGGATCACTTTATTTCTTCCCTAATCCTCACTATAGATAATTACTATGGATATTTCAATTTATTCATCCTTTTTGTCTTTTAACAGCGTTTTGCATTAATATTTTCACATTGTTAGATCACTTCACTTGTGCTATTTCTGTCTTTTTTGTTGTTGTTATTTCAGTCTTGTATCGAAGTTTGAACTGTCTCTTCATTATGTCTGAAAAGATTTGCCTTTTTTTCTGTAGTGTTAAACATGGATTGTACATTTATTGTCCATTAAATAATCTTTAGTTTTGCCTCAACTGATAAAATAAAACCTGTTTTCTGTTTTCTTTTTTATCGTATTTTTAATTTAAATTCAATTTGTGAACATGTAGTATATCATCTGGTGCTCATCACATATGCCCTCCTTTGTGCTCATCACCCAGTTATCCCATCCCGGAACCACCTCCCCTTCTGCAACCCTTTGTTTGTTTCCCAGAATCAGGAGTCTCTCATGGTTCATTTTCCTCTCTAATTTTTAATTTAGTTTAATTTAATTTTTAAGTTTCTCCCTTTTCACTTATAGTCCCTTTCTTTACATTCCACATATGAGTGAAACCGTATGATAATTGTCTTTCTCTGATTGACTTATTTCACTCAGCCTAATACCCTTCAGTTCCATCCACGTCAATGTAAATGGTAGGTATTCATCCTTTCTGATGGCTGAGTAATATTCCATTGCATATATGTATATATACATCACATCTTTATTCATTTATCTGTCAAAGGACATCTTGGCCTCTTCCACAGTTTGGCTATTGTGGACCTTGCTGCTATGAACATTGGGGTGCAGGTGTCATATTGTTTCACTACATCTGTATCTTTGGGGTAAATACCCAGTAGTGCCATTGTTGGGTCATAGGGTAGCTCTATTTTTAACTTCTTGAGGAACCTCTACACTGTTTTCCAGAGTGGCTGCACCAGCTGGCATTCCCACCAATGGTGCAAGAGGGTTCCCCTTTCTCCATGTCCTCACCAACATCTGTTGTTTCCTGTCTTGTTAGACATTTAACATTGGTATAAAATGGTATCTCATTGTGGTTTTGATTTGTATTTCCCTGATGACAAGTGATGTGGAGCATTTTTAATGTGCTTGTTGGCCATGGGTAGGTCTTCTTTGGAGAAATGTCTGTTCATGTCTTCTGCCCATTTCTGGACTGGACTGTTTGTTTTTTGGGTGTTGAGTCTGATGAATTCTTTATAGATATTGAATGCTAGCCCTTTATCTGATATGTCATTTTCAAATATCTTCTCCCATTCTGAAGGTTGCCTTTTAGTTTTGTTGACTGTTTCCTTTGCTGCTGATAAAAAGCAGGAGCTTTTTATCTTGATGAAAACCCAATAGTTTGTTATTGCTTTAATTTCCCTTGCCTTTATAGACATGTCTAGCAAGAAGTTGCTGTGGACAAGTTCAAAAAAGTTGTTGCCTATGTTCTCCTCTAGGATTTTGATGGATTCCTGTCTCACATTTAGATCTTTTATCTATTTTTAATTTATCTTTGTGTATGGTGTAAGAGAATGGTTCAGTTTCATTCTTCTACATGTGGCTCTCCAATTTTCCCAACACCATTTATTGAAGAAACTGTCCTTTTTCCAAATTGGATATTCTTTCCTGCTTTGTCAAAAGATTAGATGACCATAGACTTGAAAGTCCATTTCTGGATACAAGTTGTTTTCATATTATTCGCAGTCAAAAAATTCAGTCTTGTATTGTTGTAGGCTGGTTTCACTGAAATTATGTAACTAAAAGTTTTATTGATTTTATTGCATGTAATGGGTACAGATTTATCTACAACAAACAGAACTCCCAGGTTTATGCTTACACAGTTTACTAGGCAAATAAAGTTATTTATATTACTCACCCAAGTCTTCAAACTTGGTGAAGACAAACATATAAGCTTATAATATCTTCAACATATACTAGTTGGCAGTCTTCCTTAAGTTTTGTGGGTTCATCTAGAAAGGAAAATGTTAAGTCTATTAAAGTGAACTGAAAATTATTATTTCACTCATCTTGCATTTTAAATTTCCTGTCTTTAAATTCTTTATTCCTGGTGTTTGTGAAATTTTCTTTCCATGTGCTATAATCACATCTGATGATTCTACAAAAGGTCATTTACCCTTAAGTCATTCTTCTAGCTATTTGTATAGTGGCAGAGTCACTTCTTTCAGAATTTGATGAACATTTGTATGTGGCTATTCTCCCCTTAAAATTAGAGGCTAAAATTTCTTTATTCTATAGTAGGCAGCCAAATTAAAATGCAAAATGCTTTAGACTTAAAAGATTAAGCCATCACATCATTTATGAAACTGTAAACATAATAAATGTGAATGTTAGATAAGGCACACATTATTATCCATCTCCAAATGAAGTTCCTAGAATGACTGAAGACCATCTAGATTTAATAAATAAAGATACTGGAATGTCTTAAGCACATGTTAAAAATTTTGCAAATTATTACTTTTACAGTACATAAGTGGTTGATGCACATTTTTAGATAATTCCAAATTATGTGGGCTATTTTCTGCAGATTTTGTGTCGTTTATACTTAATTCCAGGATTACATTCAATGGTGTAAAATTATAATTTTTAAAAAGATTTTATTTATTTATTCATGAGAGAGGGAGAGAGAGGTAAAGACACAAGCAGAGGGAGAAGCAGGCTCCATGCAGGGAGCCTGCCATGGGACCCAATCCCGGGGCGCTAAGGATCAGGCCCTGGGCTGAAGGTGGCGCTAAACCGCTGAGCCACCCAGGCTGCCCTAAAATTATAATTTCAAGCATTTTCTAGTTCAATTGTTTAAGTATTGAGCTAATTTTAGATGTTCCTATCTGTTTAAGTAATTTAATTATGTCTAACAGCGTGTGAGGACTACATAGCACATTACTTCTTCAATAAAGTTTCTTAGTAATCATTGTACATTGATTTTTTTGAAAACAGATGATAGAAAATGAAGAAGCATGTTAGTGATATCAGACAATTTAAATAGTCCAATAACATCAAAATTCAAATGTTTTTTTTGATTACTTAAAAGCCAGTTTTATAGTTGATTCAAGTTATCTTATTTTTTAAAAATATTTTATTTATTTATTTTTAAAAAATATTTTATTTATTTATTCATGAGAGACACAGAAAGAGTGAGAGGCAGAGATACAGGCAGAGGGAGAAGCAGGCTCCATGCAGGGAGCCTGACATGGGACTCAATCCTGGGCCTCTAGGATCAGGCCCTGGGCTGAAGGAGGCGCCAAATCGCTGAGCCACCCAGGCTGCCCCAATTCAAGTTATCTTATACTTGTAGAACCATCGTTGGTTATTATGTAATGATTCTATAAAGATTTCTTATCACAGTTCCCCTTGTTATTTTATGCAAAAGGAATGGTGACAAATCGTTGATTTAAAGATTTTGACTTGAATTTTATTTTTTTAAAGATTATTTATTTATTTATTTATTTATTTATTTATTTATTCATAGAGACACACAGAGAGAGAGGCAGAGACACAGGCAGAGGGAGAAGCAGGTTCCAGGCAGAAAGCCTGACGTGGGACTCGACCCAGGGTCTCCAGGATCACGCCCTAGGCTGCAGGCGGCGCTAAACCGCTGCGCCACCGGGGCTGCCCTTGACTTGAATTTTAATGAGCTTATAAACTCTGTATTTATAACTAGCTGTGGCACAACTAGCTATGGCATCTTCTCTGTGTTTTGTTTTCCCCTAAAGCTGATCTTAATTAATAAAATTATGAAAAGTCCTTTGATTCTCTCATACCTTACAGTCACCATTCTGATTTTCTGAAGAGAAGCAGATTTTAAGTGACTGCTAACTGGCCTGAAAGGGAAAATTTAAAGGGAAACCAAAAGTTCATTTTGACGTTTATTTTTTTAAGATTTTATTTATTTATTCATAGACACACACACACACACACACACACACACACACACACAGAGGCAGAGACACAGGCAGAGGGAGAAGCAGGGAGCCAGACGTGGGATGTAGGGAGCCGGACGTGGGACTTGATCCTGGGTCTCCAGGATCACACCTCAGGCTGCAGGCGGTGCTAAACCGCTGCGCCACGGGGGCTGCCCTCATTGTGAAGTTTATATTCTTTTGATTTTAGTCAGTGACACTGGGCTTCAAAATATCTCACAGAACTATTTTGTATTAGGGCTTCACAGCCACTTTAGAATATTGTGAAATTTAGAGGCTTTGATTCAACATGTTACATGAAAATGCTTTCCTCCTGCAGGATCTGTAGCCAGGCCTCATTTTAACATGTTATAGGAATGAGAGCAATTTTAAGAAAAGTCATCACATTTAAGCATCAAGGAACCAAAAACAATATGTTCCATATATATGACGTATTTTTATATCCAACAGAAGTATGAATAAAATAATTTGTATGAGTGAAATACTCAGTTAATAGAAATACTTTAGTTGGGTTTTTTGTTTTTCTTTTTTACTAAGTGTGGGAGTTCTTGAGTTTCTCCTAAAGTCCTACAATGAAGTGCTCATGAAGGATAAAAGTGGCAACAAGTGTGAATTATAAGCAAAATAAGGTCAAGGGTGATGCATATTATTCATTTTATTCTCCATGATAGCCAAAGAGTAGCTTCTGACACCCTGTATTTCAATGATTGTTTTATGATAGACTCTGAAGCAGAGTATTTTAAAAACTGCAGCATAATGGAAATGATTGTGCTTTGTTACTAATATTATATACATTAAATAAAAAGGCATTTACAATCTATGAAAATATCCAAAAGTCAAAAAATTTTAAGTGTTCCAGAAAATGGCTAAACCAAAAAGAACCTCAGGATCTTTCTTGTACTTACATAATCAGTCACATGATGTCGCTGTACACTCAGAAGGTGAAAAGGAAAAATTTTGTCTCCGCGCCCAGATTCCACCCATTGACAGAATAGGATTGACTCCATACTCATAAAGGCTCGCAGATGAGCGATCCCTTAAAACCAACAGTCCCACCTCAGAGGTCTTGTTAACTACAATGGTGTTTTCCTGGAGAGGAGGCCCAGGAGCCCCGCGACTGCTGCTCTCGCTTCTGCTCCTCGCAGTTTGGGAACCCGGGAGCGGCCAAGTCCACTACTCGGTCCCGGAGGAGGCTAAACACGGCACCCTTGTGGGCCGCATTGCGCAAGACCTCGGGCTGGAGCTGACCGAGCTGGTGCCCCGCCAATTCCGGGTGGCGTCCAAAGGCCGCCGGCACCTTTTAGAGGTAAATCTGCCAAATGGCATTTTGTTTGTGAATTCTCGGATCGACCGCGAGGAGCTGTGCGGGCGGAGCGCGGAGTGCAGCATCCACCTGGAGGTGATCGTGGACAGGCCGCTGCAGGTTTTCCATGTGGAGGTGGAGGTGAGGGACATTAACGACAACCCGCCGGTGTTCAGAGAAGGAGAACAAAAGGTACTGATTTCTGAATCTGCACCTCTGGATTCTCATTTTCCTCTAGAGGGCGCTTTCGATGCGGATATTGGCGTAAACTCTCTTCTGACCTATACGTTAGGTCTAAATGAATATTTTACTCTTAAAATAATAACGAAAAATGATAAAAGTATATTGCCTGAACTAGTTCTACGGAAGTCATTGGATAGAGAGGAAACTCCAGAACTTAATATATTGCTGACCTCCCAGGATGGCGGTAAACCCGAGCTAACAGGATCTGTTCAAATTAAAATAAGCATTCTGGATGTGAATGACAACGCTCCGGAGTTTGGTAAGCCTGGCTATAAAGTAGCGCTGTTTGAAAATGTCCCAAATGGCACGAGAGTGATTCAGCTAAACGCTTCTGATCTAGACGAAGGGGTGAATAAAGAAATTTCCTATGGAATCAGACTGATTTTGCCAGTGAGTGAGAAATGCACCTTTACAATAAATCCAGAAACAGGTGAAATCAGAATGTACGGGAAATTGGATTTTGAAGAGAATATTGAGTACGAAATTCAGGTTAACGCCGTTGATAAGGGGATTCCTTCTATGGCAGGTCACTGTACAGTCCTAGTGGAAGTTCTGGACCTGAATGACAATACCCCTGAAGTTATGATCACTTCGTTGTCGCTCCCCATGAGAGAGGATGCTCATGTGGGCACCGTCATCGCCTTGATCAGCGTGTCCGACCGTGACTCTGGCGCCAACGGGCAGGTGACCTGCTCACTAGCACCCCAAGGCCCCTTCAAGCTGGTGTCCACCTTCAAGAATTACTATTCGCTGGTGCTGGACAGCGCCCTGGACAGAGAGAGCGTGGCGAACTACGCTCTGGTAGTGACCGCACGCGACGGAGGCTCGCCTTCGCTGTCGGCCACGGCCAGCGTGTCCGTGGAGGTGGCCGACGTGAACGACAACGCGCCGGCATTCGCGCAGCCCGAGTACACGGTGTTCGTGAAGGAGAACAACCCGCCCGGCTGCCACATCTTCACGGTGTCGGCGCGCGACGCCGACGCGCAGGAGAACGCGCTGGTGTCCTACTCGCTGGTGGAGCGGCGCGTGGGCGAGCGCGCGCTGTCGAGCTACGTGTCGGTGCACGCGGAGAGCGGCAAGGTGTACGCGCTGCAGCCGCTGGACCACGAGGAGCTGGAGCTGCTGCAGTTCCAAGTGAGCGCGCGCGACGCGGGCGTGCCTCCCCTGGGCAGCAACGTGACGCTGCAGGTGTTCGTGCTGGACGAGAACGACAACGCGCCCGCGCTGCTGCCGCTGCCCGGGGCGCGCGGCGGGGGCGGCGCGCTGAGCGAGTCGGTGTCGCGGGCGGTGGGCGCGGGCCACGTGGTGGCCAAGGTGCGCGCGGTGGACGCGGACTCGGGCTACAACGCGTGGCTGTCGTACGAGCTGCAGCCGGCGGCGGGGGGCGCGCGCAGCCCGTTCCGCGTGGCGCTGTACACGGGCGAGATCAGCACGACGCGCGCCCTGGACGAGGCGGACGCGCCGCGCCAGCGCCTGCTGGTGCTGGTGAAGGACCACGGCGAGCCGGCGCTGACGGCCACGGCCACTGTGCTGCTGTCGCTGGTGGAGAGCGGCCAGGCGCCCAGGCCGTCGTCGCGGGTGTTGGCGGGCGGCGCGGGCGCGGGCGCGGGCGCGGGCGCGGCGCTGGTGGACGTCAACGTGTACCTGATCGTCGCCATCTGCGCGGTGTCCAGCCTGTTGGTGCTCACGCTGCTGCTGTCCACGGCGCTGCGGTGCTCGGCGCCGCCCAGCGAGGGCGCGTGCGGGCCGGGGAAGCCCACGCTGGTGTGCTCCAGCGCGGTGGGGAGCTGGTCGTACTCGCAGCAGAGGCGGCAGAGGGTGTGCTCTGGGGAGGGCCCGCCCAAGGCCGACCTCATGGCCTTCAGCCCCAGCCTTCCACAGTCAGAAGTTTGTTTAAATACTTCCAGTGAAGTAAGTCATTAATATCATTTAAATATTTGTTTCCTTTCATAGCTTTTTATTAGGGTATAAATACATCCTTTCTTTTTTCTTCATGTTATCTTTTGAACCAGAGAACATCTTCTGTGGTATGATCATTCTTGGTTATTTTGAACTTTTTGTGTATATCATGTTCATTGAAACTTTCCTTTGAAAGTTCACTTGAACTTTCATGTATTAGTGATATGTGTAGATGAAATGGTGGTTATGGATCACCACATTTTAAACTGTCTTGTTCTGTCATTTCTCCTGTATGAATTATTAGCCTTGAAAAATATTAGTACATAAGAGTAAAAACTGCATAGGTGTTTGATAACTCTTAAGTTTGAACTTAATATCATGATCAGAGTACAAATAGTTTTCAAACACCATGAACTGAATTCCTTTACTGTTCCTTATATACATAAGCTTGTAAAATATCCTCCTGGTCACCACTTTAATTTCAGCACAATGTCCTTCAGATATTATAATAATAAAATTATGTTATTAATTCTAAGGAATAATTTTGTTATTGTTCACACGGAGTGCCTTTTTCTTTTAAGTGAGATTGGTTACTTACTATCATTATTTACATAAAATCAATCTCCTGTTATTTTCTAGGACCTGTGCTATGATCTTTAATTGCATCATCTCATCTAAACACCAAATTAGCCATGGGGCACCTAGCTGTTTTAGTGAGTGGACTATGTATGCTACTCTTGATAGCAGGGTTGTGAGTAGGAGCCCCATGTTGGATGTAGAGATTACTTAAAAATAAACCTTATAATAAACCAGCCTTGGGGTGCCTAGGTGGCTCAGTCAGTTAAGCAGTTAAGGGTCTACCTTTGATTCAAGTCCTTATCTAAGGGTCTTAGGATTGAGCCCTGCTCAGTGTCTTCCTTCCCTCCCCCTCCCCCTGCTCATGCTGTCTCTCTCTAGCTCAATATCTTTCTCTCAAATGAATTAAAAAATGTTTTTAAAGGGTTGAAGATGAAAGATATGGGGGCACCTAGGTGGCTCAGTCGGTAAAGCATATGACTCCATCTCAGTTCAGGTCTTGATCTTACGGTCATGAGCTCCAAAGTGGAGCTTACTTAGAAAAAAAAAAAACAACTTTCCTTAGTAGGGAAAGAAAAATGTTGGTATTAGAAGAGCTATCAAGTTCATATTTGATTACTTATCTCTCTGGGTAAATTTTCTGAGAATAAAATGGTGGAAATGAGGTTGGGGATTTGAGAACAGAGAGAAGAAAATATAGAAGAATCTCTGTATGCAGGAGGAAAGAGTTAATTAGGAATTCATTTGAAAGCCCAAATCAAGGTAAATGTGTGAGTAAACTTGTAGAGAATATAGTGATCATGGCAAGTGACATCCTTAAATGGAGAAGCTCAGTGAGAGAGAGAAAATGAACAGTTATATTGTGTATTGGAAGCTAAAGAAAATGTTTGAGGAGTAATATAAGTGGGTGAGTGCTTTGAGGATGTTTGACATAATTTACATAGTTGACTATGTAGTCTAGGTTAGATGGAGAGAAAAGGGAAATAAGGTAGAGCTTGATAGACAAGAACAACCAGAAGGAATCAAGAGGCTGTTCTCAGGTAAGAGTAAAGTTATGTTGGGATCCCTGGGTGGCGCAGTGGTTTAGCGCCTGCCTTTGGCCCAGGGCGCGATCCTGGAAGACCCGGGATCGAATCCCACATCAGGCTCCTGGTGCATGGAGCCTGCTTCTCCCTCTGCCTATGTCTCTGCCTCTCTCTGTCTCTCTCTATCATAAATAAATAAAAAAAATTAAAAAAAATTAAAAAAAGAGTAAAGTTATGTTAAATACTTTTTTTAAATTTATTTATATGATAGTCACACACAGAGAGAGAAGCAGAGACACAGGCAGAGGGAGAAGCAGGCTCCATGCACCGGGAGCCCGATGTGGGATTCGATCCGGGTCTCCAGGATCGCGCCCTGGGCCAAAGACAGGCGCTAAACCACGGCGCCACCCAGGGATCCCCAAAGTTATGTTAATGAAAGTAATGTAACAGGACTGGAAGATGGCGTTAAGAGAATATCAAATACTCTACTCAAATGTTCAGAGACGAGCAAAGATGCAGAAACAAACTCAACTATTGTGTCTTGCAGAATTGTGCACAGAACAGGCAAGGTAATTATTGGAGCTATACTGTGTCTTTTATAGCACTATTTTGTCTGGAAATTTGTGGCTTGGTAAAGATAGTTGTAACAATAGGTAAAAGTAATATTCCCTTCTTTTCTTTCTTGCTAAAGATGTGTTAACATCTCTGTTTATCTGTTGATGTTTGGAAAAATCAGAGTCAACTTAAATAATAGTAAGGTTTTCCCCAGGGATAGGGAGGAGAAGAGGGAAGTTTAAATTATTGGTATTAATTTAAATTCCATCAGAGGGATCCCTGGGTGGCGCAGCGGTTTAGCGCCTGCCTTTGGCCCAGGGCGCGATCCTGGAGACCCGGGATCGAATCCCACGTGGGGCTCCCAGTGTATGGAGCCTGCTTCTCCCTCTGCCTATGTCTCTGCCTCTCTCTCTCTCACTGTGTGCCTATCATAAATAAATAAAACAAACAAAAAAAATTAAAAAAAAATAAATAAATTCCATCAGATACATAGGATGTTAGTTCTTGGCATCTTTTATGCAAAGAAAAATGTAAAGCATTGTAATATCTTAGTGGTCTAAATTATCGTGTTTGTGCACAAACATGCTCACATGCAAACTCATACATTGACAGGACACTCCCTTTAAATACAAATATTTTATCTACATTTCAGTCATATTTTGGGGATATTACACATCTAGTATATCATGTATTAATATTTTCCACAATCATCTGTTTTATTCTTATAATTGATTATGTTTTCATTTGGAGTTAATGGCTGTTGTGTGAATAGTTCTAAATAAATATTGCAGGAAAAAAGATATTCCCAACCGAAACCACCACAGGTAGGCAGACTGGTTTCCAAAAGTGAATGTAGAATATTCCTCTTTTAAAATTCTGCATGGGGGTGCCTGGCTGGCTCAGTTGGTAGAGCATGTGACTTGATATTGATCTCAGGGTTGTGAGTTCGAGCCACATTGGGTGTAGAGATTACTTAAAAATAAAATTTTTTTTAAATTTTTATTTATTTATGATAGTCACACACAGGGAGAGAGAGAGAGAGGCAGAGACACAGGCAGAGGGAGAAGCAGGATCCATGCACCGGGAGCCCGACGTGGGACTCGATCCCGGGTCTCCAGGATCGCGCCCTGGGCCAAAGGCAGGCGCCAAACCGCTGCGCCACCCAGGGATCCCAAAAATAAAATATTTTTAAAAATTTCTGCATGAGAGTTTTTCACTTGCAAAAATATATTTGTGGAAAATGGAATTCAATCGATTTTCAACTAGCATCCTATACAGACCAGAATACAGTGATTTACTGAGGTATGATCATTCTCAGTTATTTTGAACTTTTTGTGTATTTCATGTTCATTGAAACTTCCCCTTTGAAAGTTCACTTGAAATTAAATGTGTTAATTAGTGATATGTATAGATGAAATGGTGGTTATGGTAATGGTGGTCTTTTCTGGAAAGAAAGACATTTAATCTTCAATTACGTATTTGCAGTGAAAAACATCACAAAATCTAAGGAAAAAATCCCCTACATCAATGGAAAATGTGAAGACCAAATTTTTTTTAAATTTTTATTTATTTATGATAGAGAGAGAGAAAGAGAGGCAGAGGGAGAAGCAGGCTCCATGCACCGGGAGCCTGACGTGGGATTCGATCCCGGGTGTCCAGGATCGCGCCCTGGGCCAAAGGCAGGCGCCAAACCGCTGCGCCACCCACGGATCCCTTGAAGACCAAATTATTTTACAGTTACACATTCATACACATGGTGTCGCTCTTCACTGAGAACATTTCCCAGAAGAAGGTACTCTGTTCCTTCCTGCAGAAAATTGGGCAGATAGTGGAGAACCTCTAGTGACTCTTCCCGCAATAGAAGGCGGTGAGGGTCAGTTTGCGGTAAGGTATTACATATACTTCAGATATATTTGAATCCTTTCGAGTGTACTATGCTGTTTTCCTGGCGAGGAGACCCAGGAGCCCTGAGTTCGTTGCTCTGGCTTCTGCTCCTCGCAGTCCAGGAGCCCGCGAGCGGCCAGGTCCGTTACTCGGTCCCGGAGGAGACCAAACACGGCACCTTCGTGGGCCGCATCGCCCAGGACCTGGGGCTGGAGCTGGCGGAGCTGGTGCCGCGCCTTTTCCGACTGGCGTCCAAAGACCACGGGGACCTTCTGGAGGTAAATCTGCAGAATGGCATTTTGTTTGTGAATTCTCGGATCGACCGCGAGGAGCTGTGCGGGCGGAGCGCGGAGTGCAGCATCCACCTGGAGGTGATCGTGGACAGGCCGCTGCAGGTTTTCCATGTGGAAGTGGAAGTTAAAGATATTAACGACAACCCGCCTGTGTTTCCTGAAAGTAAAAAAAGGATTATCATTGCAGAATCTAGACCTCCAGAAACTCGGTTTCCACTAGATGGCGCATCCGATGCAGATATTGGAATAAACTCGGCCTTGACCTACCGAATCAATCCCAACGAGTATTTCGCTTTGGACACACAAAACAATCGTGAACAAACGTCATCGTTGTCACTTGTGTTGAAAAAATCATTGGACAGAGAGCAAATTCAGGAGCATAGTTTATTATTGACAGCCAATGATGGGGGTAAACCGGAGCTGACTGGCACAGTTCAGCTGCTGATAACAATTCTGGATGTGAATGACAATGCCCCAGAATTTGACCAATTTATTTATAAAGTGACAGTGTTAGAGGACGCATTTAATGGAACATTAGTGATCAAGCTAAATGCCACGGATCTGGATGACGGTACGAATGGAGACATAATCTACTCATTTAGAAGGCCTGTATCGCCTGCGGTATTATATGCGTTTATGATAAATCCCAATAGTGGAGAAATTAGAACAAAAGGTAAACTAGATTTCGAAGAAAAGAAGTTGTATGAAATATCGGTGGAGGCAACAGACAAGAGTAATATTCCAATGGCAGGTCACTGTACCATTTTGGTGCAAATACTAGATATAAATGACAATACCCCAGAAATTATCATCACTTCTCTGGCACTCCCCGTGCGAGAGGATGCTCAGGTGGGCACCGTCATCGCCTTGATCAGCGTGTCCGACCGTGACTCTGGCGCCAACGGGCAGGTGACCTGCTCACTAGCACCCCAAGGCCCCTTCAAGCTGGTGTCCACCTTCAAGAATTACTATTCGCTGGTGCTGGACAGCGCCCTGGACAGAGAGAGCGTGGCGAACTACGCTCTGGTAGTGACCGCACGCGACGGAGGCTCGCCTTCGCTGTCGGCCACGGCCAGCGTGTCCGTGGAGGTGGCCGACGTGAACGACAACGCGCCGGCATTCGCGCAGCCCGAGTACACGGTGTTCGTGAAGGAGAACAACCCGCCCGGCTGCCACATCTTCACGGTGTCGGCGCGCGACGCCGACGCGCAGGAGAACGCGCTGGTGTCCTACTCGCTGGTGGAGCGGCGCGTGGGCGAGCGCGCGCTGTCGAGCTACGTGTCGGTGCACGCGGAGAGCGGCAAGGTGTACGCGCTGCAGCCGCTGGACCACGAGGAGCTGGAGCTGCTGCAGTTCCAAGTGAGCGCGCGCGACGCGGGCGTGCCTCCCCTGGGCAGCAACGTGACGCTGCAGGTGTTCGTGCTGGACGAGAACGACAACGCGCCCGCGCTGCTGCCGCTGCCCGGGGCGCGCGGCGGGGGCGGCGCGCTGAGCGAGCCGGTGTCGCGGGCGGTGGGCGCGGGCCACGTGGTGGCCAAGGTGCGCGCGGTGGACGCGGACTCGGGCTACAACGCGTGGCTGTCGTACGAGCTGCAGCCGGCGGCGGGGGGCGCGCGCAGCCCGTTCCGCGTGGCGCTGTACACGGGCGAGATCAGCACGACGCGCGCCCTGGACGAGGCGGACGCGCCGCGCCAGCGCCTGCTGGTGCTGGTGAAGGACCACGGCGAGCCGGCGCTGACGGCCACGGCCACTGTGCTGCTGTCGCTGGTGGAGAGCGGCCAGGCGCCCAGGCCGTCGTCGCGGGTGTTGGCGGGCGGCGCGGGCGCGGGCGCGGGCGCGGGCGCGGCGCTGGTGGACGTCAACGTGTACCTGATCGTCGCCATCTGCGCGGTGTCCAGCCTGTTGGTGCTCACGCTGCTGCTGTCCACGGCGCTGCGGTGCTCGGCGCCGCCCAGCGAGGGCGCGTGCGAGCCGGGGAAGCCCACGCTGGTGTGCTCCAGCGCGGTGGGGAGCTGGTCGTACTCGCAGCAGAGGCGGCAGAGGGTGTGCTCTGGGGAGGGCCCGCCCAAGGCCGACCTCATGGCCTTCAGCCCCAGCCTGCCTCCCTGCGCGAGTTCTAAGGGGGAAACAGGTGAAAGAGAAGACAACTCAGAACAGTTGAAAGAGGTGAGTTCGCATCAAAGTCTGCTTTACTCTTTTAGCTCATTCACAGTTTTATCATTTAAGATTCTTCGTTCTCAGTGTAGCTTTATTCTTTAATATTGTGCGTCGTCATGGTATTTAATGAGTGTTACTGACCTCTTGGATTGAATTATTGTTCAGATGCTTGCGTCTGGGTGGCTCAGTCAAGCATTCAACTCTTGATTTCGGCTCAGGTACTGATCTCAGGAACGGGAGATCTAGTCTCCAGTGGGTCTCACTCTGGTCGTTGAGTCTGCTTCAAGATTCTCTCTCTCTCTGCCACTCCCCGCGCGTGTTCTGTCTCTTTAAACAAACAAATAATTGTTCTGATTGAAATCTTTAAGTTAAAAAAGCATAATAAATTGCCTATAATGGTAATTCGTGGGGTTTTTATTTGTATTACAGTTTGTAAGTATTTTCTATGTGAGCATTTACAAGAAACCACACTTTATGAATACTTAAGCATTTAGAAAATGTTTGTTTTTTTAAAAAAGTTTGCTTTAATGAGGCTAATGAGAATTTTTACACTTTAAATGTCTATTAAAAATTTATACGTATGCTCATAGACATCTTTTAGGGACAAAAATGACAAAAATGTCATTTAAAAGTTCATTTTCATTTATTTAATGAAAACCCTTTTTATTTGGTCCCTCCTCATTTTCTTCTAGTCACATCACCATTCATGTCAGGTATCTGATACTAACAAGCTCATGATTTTCTCTCTCTCTTAAAATTTTTTTATTGGAGTTCAATTTGCCAACATATAGCATAACACCTAGTGGTCATCCCATCAATAATTTTCTCTTATTTATTTTCAGTCACTTAATTGCTCTACACGTGCATACATCTGGTGGGTTTTTTGTTATTGTTTATTTTAGAAAGTTTATTAGGATAGATAATGTATTTTACACTTTTCAATCACCAATGTCTTTGGAAATCCCCACAAATCTGATACTTTTAGGTTTTTTTAAATTTATTTATGATAGTCACAGAGAGAGAGAGAGAGAGAGGCAGAGACATAGGCAGAGGGAGAAGCAGGCTCCATGCACCGGGAGCCGGACGTGGGATTCGATCCAGGGGCTCCAGGATCACGCCCTGGGCCAAAGGCAGGCGCTAAACCGCTGCACCACCCAGGGATCCCAAATCTGATACTTTTAATAGCTGTATAATACCCCATAATGCAGGGTGAATCCTTTATATATTTAGTTACTCACCTGTTGATTAGCAATTTGTTTCAAGTCTTCTTTTGCCCTGATAAGCCCTGCTGTACTATCATTTACATATTTCTAAAATATTGGTGCTTTTATTTCTGTGAAATTCGCTTTCAGATGTGGAATAGATATATCAAAGGTTATTAATAATTTTTATTTAATTTTTGTTTATTTATTTATTTTAAAAGATTTTATTTATTTATTCATGAGAGACAGAGAGAGAGTCAGAGACACAGGCAGAGGGAGAAGCAGGCTCCATGAGGGGAGGGGAGCCCGACATAAGACTGGATCCCAGATCTCCAGGATCACACCCTGGGCCAAAGGCGCTCAGCCACTGATCTACTCGGGCTGCCCTAATTTTAATTTTAAAATGCATTGTTAGAGTACTTTCTGAGAATTTTGTAGTTATTTTAAATTCCACCAACAATCAGTAATGATCTTATATTCTGCCAGAGTGATATCTCATTGTTAGTTTAATTTTAATTCCGTATACCACCACTGAATAGGTGAGCTACTGAGCACATTATTACTTGTATTTGGTTTTCTTTGATATGTCATTTAAATTCTTTGTCCATTTTTTTATTTGAAAAAAAGTTTTGTTTTTTCAGTTTACAAAGTTATCTGTAAAATTAGATATTAACTTTAATCTTCTACTTATATCACAAATATTTTTCCTCTTATGCAATTTATATCGATTATAATACATTTTTCCATATAAAAGTATTTTTATATTTTATATTAAATATGCCTATTTTTCTTTTATGGATTTTATAAAAAGTCTCCATAATTAGTTAGGAGGATCTTAATTTTTATATGGGACATCCATTAATTAAATTAAGTGTCAGACACTTTTTATAGGGTGTATCCATTAACACCCTATTTGTAATATTTTTGTTCTATTTTAAATATTTTTGTTCTTTAACCCTTATAGTAAAGTGGTTATTATACTACCACATTACAATGTTGGGATATTGTGAATCTGATTCTACACTTTACTAGCATATGATATATTTTCATGTTCTCATGTTACTAGTTATCATCCTTTCATTTCAGCTTGAAGAACTCCTTTCATCATTTCTTGTAAGGAAAGTCTAATGGTGATGAATTTCCCCAAGCTTTTGTGTATTTAAAAAAATCTTTATCTTGCCTTAATTTCTGAAGGATAACTTTGCTGCATAAAGTATTCTTGATTGGTGGTTTATTTTTATTTCAGCACTTTGAATTTATCACCCCATTCTATCCTGGCTTGCAGTGTTTCTGGTGATAGCCTAATGGGAGTTCATTTTTAAGAGAGAAATGTTTCTCTCTTGTTCTTCTTTATTAAAATTCTCTCTTTGTCTTTGGTTTATTTTATTATAAACTTAATAATAAGTTTGATATTAATATAATAATAATGAGTAAACTCATTATTAATGAGTTTTATTATAACTCATCCTAGAGAACATTGTTTTGGATTGACATTTTGGGGTGATCTTTTCGCTTTATGAACTTGGATGTCTAGATCCTTCCCCATATTTGAGAAGTTCTCTCCAATTATTTCTTTAAATAAGCTTCCTACCCCTTTCCCTCTTCTCCTTCTGAGATTCCAGTGATAGTTTCTTTTAAAGGTGACCCATAAGTCCCATATGTCCCATCAGGCTTTCTTCCTTCCTTTTCACTATTTTTTCTTTTTGCTCCTTAAACAGTTTTTAAAACTTAAATTCTATTTAGTTAACGTATAGTGCACTATTAGTTTTAGAGATAGAATTTAGAGACTCATCAGTTACATATAACACCCAGTGCTCATTACATCAAGTGTCCTCCTTCATGTGCATCACCCAATTACCCTATCCCCCACCAACCACCCCTCCAGCAACCCTCAGTTTGTTTCCTAGAGTGCTCCTTTTGACTGGATAATTTTAAATGATCTTTTTGCTCCCTCTATTGTCTGCTGCATTTCAGTTTTCTGGTTCTACAGCATTGAGCTGTTCTCCCTTGTTCTTGGTGGTCATTAGGCATCCAAAGTATGCTGGTTTCCTGTCAGCACCCCAAGTCAGGTAAAACAGATACCAGTTTCTTAGACAGCTTTCCAAAACCCTCAAAGCCAGACACACCTTCACTTCTCTCCCTCCTTCCTTTTTTTTGTTTTAAAGATTTTATTTATTCATGAGAGACACAGAGAGAGTCAGAGACATAGGCAGAGAGAGAAGCAGGCTCCTCAAAGGGAGCCTGATGTGGGACTCAATCCCTGGACCCCAGGATCATGCCCTGAGCCAAAGGCAGATGTTCAACCGCTGAGCCACCAGATGTCCCTCTCTCCCTCCTTCCCAAAGGAGTGAGATGCTCCCTTAGTATTTTTTGTTCTCCATAGCCCCCAGGCATCCAGACTATGCCAGTTCAATCAGTTCTGATTGAGGCAATATAGAAACCAGTCCTTAAGGCAGCCTTCTGAGAAGCTGATACACTGGACACATGCTATACTCTTCTCTCCCTTCAAGGTGAAGTAGCAAGCAGGGTGTTCTTTTCTGGTGCTGAGGTGTGCCAGCATGGGTGAGGGGCTGATGTGAGCAAAGTAAAATTATTCTTTGTATTTGTCCCAGTGCAGCTATTTCAGCTTTATATTCACCTGGTGAACTTTAGTATCATAACTGGATTCAGGAATCAATTCAATTCAATCAATCAATTCAATTCATAAAGGAATTTTGGCCCACATGTTGTTGTTAATGGTATTTTTGTGGGGGGAATTAGGGCTGGAACTTCCTATTCTGATATTTTGCTGACATCATTTTGATACATTTTGAATTAATATTTGTAGATGGTGTGAGGTTCTGGTCCAACTTCATACTTTTGCAAGTGGATATCCAGTTATCCTGGCATCATTTTTTGAAAGAACTATTATTTCCCTGTTGGGGAACCATTGTTGAAAATCAGTTGATCAAAGGACACCTGGCTGACTCAGTCAGTAGAGCATGAGACTCTTGATCTCTGACTTGTAAGTTTGGGCCCCAATTTGAGTATAGAAATTACTTAAAATGAAATATTTAAAAAGAAAAAAGAAAAGAAAATCAATTGGTTAATAAATGTGGGAGTTAATTTCTGGAATTCTGTTTCTATTCAATTGATTTATACATCTATCCTTATCTCAGTATCATACTCTATTGTAGTAGTTTTGTGGCAAGTTTTAGAAACTATTGGTTCTCCAACTTTGTTCTTTTTTTCAAGATTGTCTTGGCTGTTCTGGTGACCTGCATTTCAATATGAATTTTTGGATCACTTTGTCAATTTCTGCAAGGAAACTAGCTTACTTTTGAAGGGAGTATGTTAAATCTATAGATCCATTTGGGCAATATTGCCATGTTAAAAACATAAGATCTTCTGATCCATGAACATGGGATTTCTCCCCTATTTGTTTAGATCTTTAATTTATTTTAATAATGTTGTGTAGTTTTCAGAGTACACATTTTATATTTCTTTTGTTAAATTTATTCCTTAATATTTTAGATTTATGATGCTATTGTAAATGGAATTGTTTTATTTCATTTTTTGTTGGTTCATTTTTACAATGGTTAGTGTGTAAAATATAACAGATGGATTTTTATATTAATCTTTTATCCTATAACCACACTGATGTCATTTATTTAGCTTTTAGTGGATTCTTTAGGATTTTCAATGTACAAGGGCATGTCATCTGGAAGTAAAGATAGTTTTAATCTTACTCCCATTTCATTTGAATGTCTTAGATTTTTATTCTTGCCTGATTGTGTTAGCTAGAGCCACTAGTGCAATGTTGAATAG